TAGTAGACTGCTCATTTGGTCCGACAAAACGCCTGTTCGGCAATCAGATTTTAGAACACATTTGGATACAGCGCGAGCTCTTCTTGTGAAAAATATGGTAGGATAAGCTTGCTATTACCCAAGGTATCGTACATATTTTTAGTCAGAGTGAAAAATCCACTTACTATCTTCCCAGTTGGTCTCACCGAGACAGTTGACTTTTTCCGAAATGAAGCAAATATGTTGGTTTGTTTCACTATCACATGATCACAAATGTTGGTTGGCTTCTGAATGCCATTTGTGTCCGTTTCTTGGGCAGAGAAACCACACCTGTACAACACCTGAATTCACCGGGACTAACTTATCGGATTATCATGGTGACATACATCGGAGTTTGGTACATTCTCACTGACGTCGAGTGAAACGTTGATGGATCGATTGAACCAGCCTGGTTTGCATCGTGTTATCGGTAAGAATGCTTCAAGTCAACTTATCCGGCATTGAAATTTCAAGAGCGTTGATCATCATCACTATGGACAGCATGACGTCAGCGTCCAACACTGATGCTTTGCTGTCGTACAACCATGATTTTCTTGATAGCCTTATTGTGAAGAAAAAAATAAAATTGGACGCGGAAGTGACATAGTGCTGCTTTAGCACACTTCCAGACACTCATTCAGGCAATGTGGAGAGAAACTGACAACACGACCACCATTGAAATCGATCACGCGGTCTCCATTCTTGTAGGCGAGTAGCACCGACACTAATCAAACGTTTCGTCGTCTTTTCATACCCCTCTGTCAGGTCAAGGGCTGGTCACCTGTCTGCATCTGCCACAGTTTCACAACCAAAAACTTGCTTTCTTATTGTCTCGTTCCGGATTCTTCGACATCAACCTACAGGATCTATGGTTCTGTGACAGCGATTGTCGTTAGGGATGCCCACTCTCTCCGTTCCTTTATAACTTCGTGATCGATAAAATGATGAGCTGAACGCTGGAGGGTCTCAAAAACCCTGGTGTTCAAATAGACTGTGAAGAAGACCTTGTCGATCTGGAATATGCAGGCAACATCGTTCTCATGTTCAAAGAGGAAGAAAAAGGCGCAAGTATTCTTGGATGAACTGACCAAAGTCATCCCATCCTTTGGTATGCACTTTGCACCCACAAAGTGTAAGGTCATGCTTGTGGACGTGCAGTCACTGAACACG